ACAACATCTTTGTTGGTATGTGGTGCTGAGGATCGAACCCGGGCCGCACGCATGCCAGGCGAGCGCGCTACCGCTTGAGCCGCATCCCCAGCCCCTCACTCTCTCTTTAAAAAAAAAAAAAAAAAAAAACATAGTCTCTGTGTCCAGGCCTGCTTCCTTCCTTCTGCTTCCTCTGCTTGGATCACTTTCTCCCTGACCTTTATCTGACCAGTTACAACTCAGCCTGGAGCCATCACTTCTTTCAGGAACCTGGGTGTAGTGCTGCTTCTCTGTACTCTCCTCTTAGCGCGCAGTAATGGCGATCTGCTTCAGATCTGTCTATCCCACCAGACTGTGAGTCCTGGGAGTTCAGGCCATTGTCCAGCTCTGGTCCTTGCATGTGGAGAGTGGATACGAGAAGGACTAGAGCAGTTCTGAACCCCCAATAGGAATTGGTAGAGGGGCGAATGGAACAGTTTTTCACAGACTTCCAGGAATCTCTTTTCTGGTTCCTTAGCGACCAGAACCCAGAGACCGGGGTATTGAATGTAGGAATCAGCTGAGGAAACTGAAATCCTGCTTTGCCAAGTGGGGAGGGGGTGGTTCAGGTGACAAGATCTGAGTTCTCTTCCTAGGCAGAGTGCCTTGGGGCAGAAGCCTGGGCTGGGGACTGTGATAACCCAGCCTGGGAGTCAGGGTCTGGCCTACTGGCCTGCCTTAAACTGCACACACTCTTGGATCTCTCCCCTTACAGTGGCCAGGCTCGGGCTGAGGTTGAAAGATTTCAACTAGGGGCAAGTAGCCAGACACAGACAGGGCTGCTGCAGAAGGTAGAGCGGGTGCCCCAGAGAATTGACGACCAGAGCAGTGAAGCGCAGAGCGGACAAATGTGTTTCTATAGGCCTCTTAACGAGACAAATGAATGGGGGCCCTGGCCTCGGCGAGGAGAGGAGGGAAGTGGGGTGGAGAAGCAGCTGCCAAGAGTTAGCCTCGAAGCCCGGCATCGATGCTGAGTCAGCTCCAATGGGGATATGGGCATGGGAGGCAGGATCCCCGCTCAGGGCAGCTTCCCCAGCCCAGGACTTGGTGGCTTCTAGGGAGAGGAAGCCTTTGGGGCCAGAAGTAGTCCTGACTGAGAGCAGAAGCCCTTATGTGTGTGCCAGGGGCCAGGATGGGAAGAATCCACAGTCTTGCCCTTGGACAAGACCCACAGTGTCGGGGCACAGGCTTGGAGCAAACCGTTCACCACAGGCGCAGGTGGGAGCAGTGCTGTTACAGATGATGACTTAAGTATCTTGGGAGAGGTGATGGGAGGCTTCCTGGAAAGGGGTTAGTGGGCATTTGCTCAGAGCAGGTATTGCATAATGAAGTGAAAAGAGGGGTGTGTGGAACAGGTGAGCCCCTGGGCTTCTCTGAGGAGCTCATGGCAGCCAGAGTGAGAACTGCAGACAGCAAGGGACAGAGGCAGGGTCCTCAGGACCAGGTGTGAGTAGGGCCCTAGAATCACTGGAGCTCAGAACAGGATGCCTCATGGCTGGAGGGGCGTGTGATATGCGGGATTTGCAGATACAGATGGGCAAGCAGCTAAGGGTATGTGTCTATTTTGTGATTTCCCCTCCCCCAGAGCCTGCAAAGCTGGAAATGGCAGGGTGCTACACACAGTTCTGCAGTGCCTTCCCCTTTGTGCTTATGGGTGGCCTGTCTAGACTCTGCCCTCTGCAACTTCCAGCAAAATGCTTTCTCTCTCTGGGCCTGTTTTCCTATTGCACAATAGGGATAATCACTCCTACCTGGAAGGGTTAACTGAGGTCACTTAGCATCTAGTAAGTGCTCCCCCTGTTGAAGGCCATGACCTGGGGCTCAAGGAGTGGCTCCTAGAACCAGGAGTGGGCTTCCCCCAGAGGGCATCAGGAGCAGTCACAGGAGCTCATTATGAGTCCTCAGCCCATTAAGTAGTTCAGGGCCTTGGAAATCACCTCTCCAGGAACTCTCCCTGCCCTTGCTGCCCTTTGCTGCTGCTGTGTCTGCCCTCTCCTTCCGCATGCTGTGTGTTTGTGCTCCCCAGGGAAGGCACAAAATAGCAGTCAGTCTCCCAGTGGAGGAACCTTGGAGGTGGCCCAGTTTGGCTATCCCTGGAACTGGACTCCTGCGGCTTCCCTGGGGGCTGTGCCTTCCCCATCCGGGGCCAGTTTCTTTCTTAGGTCACTTTCTTCCACCTTGCACCTAAGCATATCTCTGAGAGCTGCTACTCAAAGAGCTGTGCTGTTCATGACCCTGTGTGGTAGAGGGGAACCACACTCTGATTGGGTGTCAGACTGGGTGGCAGTGGGTAACTGGCAGAAAATCTCTCCTGGTGTGTCCATACAACACCCTGTTGACCCAGTCTCAAAACTTTCAGACCATCACTGAACACTGGGGCAGAGCCTCTTTTTATCTGCCTGCCTGGGGAGCTGACCAGTTACTGCAGTGAGATCCATGGCAGGATGGGAAATCTCACTGTGGGACTCCCAGAGCCTCTGRGAGGGAGAATAGGATGGGACTCCACTAAGGGGCAAGGCACACCAAAGGCAAGGAGGTGCCTGTGGGCTTGGCAGGTCAGGGCAAGCCTGGTTGGTGGGTGGTAAGACAGGAGAGTTCTAGCTGTGTTCTCAGCATAGTGCAGTGCACGGCCTGCCGTAGGTGCTCGAGATACTGTTGAAGACAAAAAGGCTGCAGAGGGTCACGTGAACAAGCGTGGGGAAGGGTGTGAGGAGACAGTGTTGTAGCTGAGAGCTGTGGGCTGACTGTGCTCCCCAAAGGTCCTGTAGGGAACAAAAAGGGCAAGGTCTTAATGGGGCTCTGGGACCGGAGGGTCCTGTGGGTGGGGAGGGGGATTGGCAGGGAGAGTCCTAGACAAAGGGAGGGACCTGCCTGCCAGCCCCAGGGCGGCACTGGGTTGGGGCTGCCCTGCCAGTCTGGCCCTGGCGCCCGGGGAGGGCGCTGGCTCCCCTCCAGCCTCCAAGGGAGGGGAGTAGTTCTGCCTCTTGCATGGCCGCAGGCCTTAGGCACAGTCCAGCCTCCACACAGCTCGAAGGCCTTTCCCTCCTGGCTGCTAGTGACCCTACCTGGCTCACCTCTTCAGTGCCTCAGCTCTTTGTTTGGTGAGGAGGCTCCGCCCCCACAGTCCTAGCCGGCACTGGCCCTTCTGGTTTAGCAGGTTCCAGACTTGGTTTCGTTGGAGACACGTTGAGGCAGGAGCTGGGATGGGAGTTCCTYTCCCTTGCCAGAGAGGGCAGGTGTGCGTGAGGGGCCACAGTGTCTCCTCTCCTCTCGAGTTATTCCTTCCTGCCCCATTCTGCGCTCCTGTGTGCCAGGAACTGGGTCAGACAGACACTGGGATAGGGTAGGAAACARGACAGGCATGGGATCTGCCCAGCCCAGGCTATGTTCCAGGGGAAGCAGCTATTAAACACCAAAAATGTCAAAAAAAATAATAGCCCCATACATAAGCAGTAGTAAACCATGAGCAGAAGTCAGGACCTCACACACGTGCACAAACCGGGCAGTGCTGTGGGGGACAGTGGAGCCTAGGACCAGGGGCTGAGATAATTGGGCACAGCTAGGGCTGTTCTTTGGCTGCCGAACAGAGATTAGAGGAGCTGGGTGCCAAGGAGGGTTGCCAGCTTGAAGCCAGTGGGGTCTCTGGTCAAAGGAAGATGACAGCTGCACCAAGGCAGTGGCAGTGCAGGTGGAGAGCTGTGGGGAGGGGTCAACAAACAGTCCAGTGGAGCCTAAGGGGATCCTAGCCCAGAGAGGACCCATCTGAGAGGAGCAGTGAACAGTGACTGTGTGACCTTGGGCAAGTAACTTGACTTCTCTGAGCCTGTGAACTGGTAATAATGATAAAAGATTTTTAAAAGAAATAAAGTACCTGGTGCAAAGTAAGTGCTTAGTGAAAGACTGGTACTCCCCCAGGGTCCAAGCCTGAGTTCATGAGCACTGAGCAGGTGGTCTTGAAAGGTCATTTCTCATGGCATTAGCCCTTCCTAGAGGTATTCATTGGCCTGATTAATAGGAAATGGATCTGCCTTCAGGATTAACGGGGCATTGCAACATCTTAATGAGCCAGGYTTCTCTGGGCTTGTGATGCTGGGCAGTGGGATTCATAGGGATAGGGGCTGTAGATTGGCCRTGGTGTGTGTGCCTGGGTGACATGGGTGTGGTAGTATGGTGTCTGATCCCCTTCCTTTCTCCCCCTTCCCTGCCTCCTATGGAGGRGGACCTCAGGGAGCTGCCCAGGCTATTGGAAGGCATTACACAAGCCAGTGGGGGTGGGGTGGGGAGGGGCAGGTTTACAGGAAGCATTCACCTGGGAAGACATCCAGAGACACTTAGGAGCTGGAATGTCTGGGCCTTTGGGGCTGCTGGTATGTGAGGGCCAGGATGGGGGAGTCACGGTTCCTGGCCCAGGCCTGGGGTGGATAGAGGTGCCATCATCGAGATGGAGAGCAAGCAGGGTAGGACAGTGTTGGGGAAGGCTGGGGCTCATCCTGAGGACAGCTCTCTGACATGCCTTGTCCCTGAGCTTGGAGATATGAGGGTGGAGACGGAAGCAGGAACCCAGATGCCGGGGTTCAGATCGCACTCTGCCGCCTACCAGCTGTGTCATGTTGGACAAATCCTTTAACCTGTCTGTGCCTCGATTTTCTTTTCTATAAACAGTAATTATAGCACCCACCTCACAGGCTTCAAAGGGTTAATAAGCGTTCAGCTCTCTGAACAGTGCCTGGCACATATTAAGCACTACATAAAGGTTAGGTGTCATTACTCTTTTCTCTTTTTTGCCCTCTTACCCCCCACAACTGCCACCTGCAGTGTTTAAACTATGCCACCCATGATCACTTGCTATCTCCATCTCTTCCAGGCAAACCTATCTTTGTTAAGGTCCCTGAGGACCAGACTGGGCTATCGGGAGGGGTGGCCTCCTTCGTGTGCCAAGCCGCAGGAGAACCCAAGCCTCGCATCACTTGGATGAAGAAGGGGAAGAAAGTTAGCTCCCAGCGCTTCGAGGTGCGTCCTCTGGGGTGAGGTGCAGGCAGGACTCAGCGTCTGTCTACACCTTTCAGTTTGGTCCTACACCTACTCTTCTTAGTCTCCCTCCCTATGGGTCTTCYGGAGGTGTGAGCAAGATCAACCCTGAGCAGGCCTCCATGTCCCCAGCAGGCTGTGACCACTTGTCTGTTCTCTGACAGGTAATTGAGTTTGATGATGGGGCAGGGTCAGTGCTGCGGATCCAGCCATTAAGGGTGCAGCGGGATGAGGCCATCTATGAATGCACCGCCACCAACAGTGTGGGCGAGATCAACACCAGTGCCAAGCTCTCAGTACTTGAAGGTATGTGCTGGGAGGGATGTGGCATGGTGGGTGGGTGGGCTGGGGTGTGAGGAAAGCCAGCCCTCCCTGGCCCTGCCATGCGTCCATGGGCATTTGGCAGAAAGGAGTGCTGGCCACCTTGGGTGGGTGAACAGGCCTGGGTCACTGGCTTAAGCTGGAGCCAACTGTGTGCGTGGTACATTGTATCCTCCTGCTGAACCACRTCAGTGGAGTGGGGTTCTGATTGAGGTGTGGAATTGTAGTTATGGGTTTTGTGGCTATGGCCACAGATGCGATTTTCATTTGGAGCCTGGCTGTACGTGTCAGGTATGTTCCTATTATCCCTGTGAGCAAGGTCCCAGGCTGGGGACTGGGGCTCTGTATGTGCATTTCAGTGTCTTCTCTTACTTGGTGGCTCCTCCATTCATTCACAAACTCCCCAGACTGCCTTGAAGTCCAGAAGCCCGCCCTACTGAGGGCTTCCTTTGAGTTGCTCAGTGTCCAATGAGTTCTGTAGGGACAGCCCAGAGGGCTGACTGGAGTGAGGAAGAGGGACTCTGARCCGAATCTCAGAGCAAAATTGGGGGAGCAGTTGGCAGCAAGGCCTGTGCCAAGGCCCAGTGGTGAAAGAGAATAGAGCTCTCAGAGAACTCTGAGAGGTTGAGGTTCAGATTGGGTTTTGGGGGAGGTTTTTTAAGGGGGACAGGGATCGGAAGCTGGAGAGCACAGGAAGATGGGGGAAAGCCACGAGTCGAGATTGGCGGGAAGATCACACTGGGTCAGGCTAAGAAATGAACACTTTCTTGGGAACATAGGAAGCCACACTGGAGTAGGCAGTGACATGATTAGACCTTAACCACGTGATTTTATCAGTCTGAATATGTCTGTATGTATATTTGCAAAAGACAGCATTGTTTTCTTTTTTAAATGCAATACTTGTTTACTTTTAAAAAATTGAAAACTATAGAATAGTACACAGGAAGAAATAAAAGTCACTCATTATCCTACCTCTGCAATTATTGGTTATTTCCTTGAGGCTCATTTTCTGTATGTGCATATATGTTTTATGTGTATAAATAGAAAAGGGATCATATGCTGCCCAATGATTTGTAAGTTTGTAGACTTCTTTGTTCCTTTTTCATTCATTCTTTCTTTTCTCTTCTTTCTTCTTTTCTTTTTGTTATGGGTTTGAACCCAGGTGTCACACATGCTAAGCAAGTGCTCTGACACTAAACTAAATCCCCAGCCCTTCCTTAAAAAAAATTATAAATACTTTCCTTGTCATTGAGTATTCTTCTGTGTCATTATTTTTAATGACTGTGGTAAGCTGTCACACAGAAGTACCCTAATTTATTTAGTTGTTCTTTTATTGTTAACACATATGTTGTTCCCACCTCTTTTCTTTTATAAATAAGGTGTCATAGATGGGGGCAGGGATAAAGGTGTTCACTCTCCTGATGACTTCCTTATTCCAGGTGAGGTCAAGGGACACATGCATTTTTAAGCTTTTAATATTTCTAGAAGATTTTATCAGTTTATACTCCTGCCAAGCAGGGCATAAGAGGGCCTCTTTTTTTTTTTTTTTTTTTTTTTCCACATCTTCACCAGCATTGGGAATTACCATTAAAAAAAAAAATCTTTGCCAAGTTAATAGGCAAAAAATAGCATCTCAATTTAATTTGCATTTCTTTGATTACAAGAGCAGTTAAACATCTTTTCACATTGGCCATTTTTACACTGTGGCTTTATGTATTCACACGTGCATCCATTCAGCAAGTTTTGTATATGTGTGTCTTGTGTGAATCAGTGTTTTCTACAGCCCTTCAGTAGGCCCTCCAGCTTAGAGGGACCATACAAGACAATGGACCATCTACTTATTGAGTGACCTTGGACCAGTGACTGTGGCCCTGAGCCTCATTTGCTCTACCTGTAAGCAAGGCTCTAATACCCACTGTCCAGGCAGGTTTGAAGGATTAAATAGAATGTGGTTAAATACTTCCCAGGACTCCAGTGTGAATGGTAACTGCTATTGGGCTGGAAGTCGCAAGTTCTGAGGCCTAGGCACATAGGCTGATGGCATTTGGTTTCTGTGCTTCCTGGCATCATCTGGATGGTGCTGTCCCTAACATTCCTTCCATCCAGAAGTCTTATGGGGCAGGGGCTCAGAGGACGGGCCCTAGGCCAAGACCACTGATTGCCTAGCCACTCCTGACCTCAGTTTCCCAACTTGTGACCTGGGGTAAGTATTTCAGTACTGCCTCCTCTCTCCCTCCTATTGGAATCTGTCCCATCAGGGAACCATCTGCCCTTCCTTGGCATTTGGGTGGTAGCTAAAAGGCCAGAACTCCTTTCCTGGAGGTTGTGTTCTCAGTCTTTCAGGTTGGAGARCAGCAGGTCTCCTTGTTGGTATTGAAAGAGAACCATCCCCGGAGCCCCAAGGCTCCAGGTTTTCTACCTCAGGAGCTCTCCTACCTCCACCACTGCCCCGGCAGCTTTATCTTTTATTGAAGGATTCAAGAGGATGAGGGTATCTTGTCAGGACCTGGAGGAGGAGAWCTCAAGCTTGCAGTGGGTCTGCTTTAGGAATGGCCTTCCTGGACACTGGTTTCTCTCTCAGGGGTTGGGGTATGTTTCTTTATTCTTATGTGCTGGGAATGGAATCTAGGTTCTTGTACATGCCAATAAGCACACATTTTACCACTGAGCCTACATCCCCAGCCCAGCCCAGGGTTATATTTGTACCTCTGGAACTTGGGAAGTGTCTGAGGAGGCTGGGAGAGTGGGACAACAGGTCCCTACCCTTGGAGCAGGTGGAGCTATGCGACTGAGTAAGCCCCTCCCACTCCTGAAACATAGCACCCGGAAGACAAAATGCTGACCTAGAGTGTTGGTCTGTGTAACCTTGACCAGCTTTGGGCTTGGGAGAAGGGATTGCCAGGAGGTGGGGCCAGAGTGAAGCAGCCCAGACTGACTATCCCCATCCGCCCCTCCTCCTAGGAAAGCCAGGAAAATTGGGGTGCATGCAGGGACTGGATGAAAGGATGACTAGAGTTCTTGGGGTGGGCTTAGCAGGAGAGTCAGGGCCATTCTTGGGAGGCTACCACAAGGTCTAAGGAGGGGTGGGGAGAAGCTGAAGCTGGGGCTGAAGAATAAGGGTTGAGTCCCTGAGCCATGTCATACACTCTGCACATAGCCTGTAAACACAGAGGGTGTGTGCATCTGCTCACCATGAGTCGGGTGCCTAGGGAAAGTGGCTCTGGGCTGCCTGGGACCACATACCATTCAGTGCCCTCTGCCCTTGCCTCAATTCACACCTCACTCCCAGCTCCCCTCACACAGCTCCCTGCTCTGGAGTCACTCCCGCTGGGGGCACCGGCACACCACTCCTGGCCACCTCACCCTGCTTCCAGAGCAGGACTGCCGTTCCTGGTGTGGCTCAGCAAGTCCCAGGCAGCTGTCCTGGGTGGCCAGCCCTCTGCTTCACCACCCCACTGGGACTGGGGTACCGGGTGGGGGGGCCCAGCTCAAGCTGGCTCAGGGTGAGCCTGTCCTGGGCTGTGACGAGTGCAGGGGCCCAGCCGCCCAGCGTTCCTGTCTGAGTGGTAATTGAAGCCATTAGCGCGCCAGCCTCTCCCTCGCCGGGTAATGGCAGGAAAAGCTCTTCTCGCTCCGCACTCTTGAGGCGGCGGCTGAATCACTCCCCCTCCAACCCGCCCGCTGCTGCCACTGAGACAGGGAATCTGACATTTTCCCTCATGAGGGAGGGGGAGTGGTGGGGGAAGGGAAGCAGGCCTTGATTCTGGGCCTTCCCACCTCCAGGAGGTGGGGGATAGTGAGGGTCTTGAGCTTAGTCCGGAGGTCATGTATTCATCCGGACAGCAGGGTCCAGGCCAGACAGAACTGTGGTCAGGAAAGCCTTAAGAGGCGGCCAGGGTGTGGGCCCAGTCCTGGTGGCTAGGTAGGTTCTGGAGGGGTCACAGAGCTCAGGGAGGAGGAGGAAAAGAGGCTGTGGAGCAGGGTGAACTGTTTCTGATTTGTCCTGGGGGCCAGGCTCCAGGGCCCCGAGTGCAGGCAGCAGTGTTGGTCTTGTCATGGATTTGGCAGATAATGTGCTCTGAGTGTGGCGTGGGGGACCTTGTGCTGTGTGTAAAGCAGTGAGGCGTGTGGTGTGGTGTGTACAGCAGGGCTGTGCCCGACAGGCCGTGTACAGGCTGGGATTGTGCAGCAGGCTATGTGTGTGTGCACATGCCTGTATCAGGCAGTGGGGGAGGAGGATGGTGTGTACAGCAGGTGGTGTATACCTTATGGGCGATGTATACAGCAGGCAGTGTGAGTGTATGCACAACAGGCAGCGTGTAGAGTGGAGTGTCTAGCAGATGGTGTGTGCTTCAGGCATTGTTGAGGGGGTGATACATAGCAGGTGGTGTTCACCTTACAAGTTAGGTGGCAGCAAGAGGGCAAGCAGCCTGAGCTGAATGTGTGGGGTCAGTCTGGTGCTGGTGGGAGGTCAGAGGTGCTATGCCTGGCCTCATTGTCTCTGGGATCCCATTGGATTTCCMCTTGGATCTGTTGGTCAGCCAGGACAGCTGGACAGAGGTGGATAGAGCCTGGCATGGTTGGGCAGAATGTTTCTCAGCATCTGCAGTGTTGACTAGGCCATTGCTGTCTAGCTAGACCAGGGGGGGAGGATGCACCAGAGAGGGACCCTGCTCAGACCTGCCTTTGGGAAGTCTTGGGACCTTCCTGTCTCCTTCCCCTTTCCTCACCAAGCCCAGTTCCCCTCTGCCTCTGCCTACCTGGTCTTGATGTCTCCCACCTGGCCAGGACCATAGCATTTATGCCATGTGGCTCAGAAATRGAGCTGTCTCCATGGAATGCCTGGTGTTTCCTGTCTGGGGGCAGGTTCCGGGAGGGGATGACTGCCAGGCACTGAACCAGTGGCCAGGGTAGAGGCCTGTAAGTGTAGTGCTGGGCCTGTACCTCTGGGTTCTGCTGTGCCTTTTAGCCTGGCAGGCTCTGGG